TCATTTCTGATAGAAACTGATACATATTTGTGGGCTGTTCTTTCCTAATGAAAATTCAACTTTGTCACTTTCATTGACTAAATCAGAAAACATTTGTGATTTTTACAAAGTTATACTGGACTCAGATGAGTCCAGTACAGCTATGTTCCTGGGCATATTGGATCAGGAGTCAGAAAACCTGCAGATTTTTAATAGATCTCTAACTTATTTTTATTTACCTTTAAGACCCTTCCTTTCCTCATGCATGCATTGAGGGGGGTTGACAAAATAATCTCTAAGGGCTCCTTGTTGCAAGGTTCTATTGGGCTATTACTCTTGAGGCTTGTGCAATGTTAATAAGAATGATAATTGCAACCTTTATATTCTAACCTCCTTATGTGTATTAACCATCTTAACTCTCATAACAACTATATGAAATAAGTACTTCATCTCCACTTTATGGAATAAGACACCAACATCCACAGATTACTAGATTGTCCAAAGTCACACAACTATAACATTGTGAAGCAACAACCTAAGTCAGGCATTGCAACTCCAGAATCCATGATTCTAACCATTATGTTAGATTGCAATTAACAGTAACCCTATGTTTTGCTGCACAATTTAAGGATATATACCCCAAAAAATGGTGTCAAGAAAACAAATCTGGGGCTGGGGATGTGGCTCAAGCGGTAGCGCGCTCGCCTGGCATGTGTGCAGCCCAGGTTCGATCCTCAGCACCACATACAGACAAAGATGTTGTGTCCGCCAAGAACTGAAAAATAAATATTAAAAAAAAGAAAACAAATCTGAAGAGCCAATATGAAAAATATAGATAGATGTGGGGAAATTATCTGTAAAGCCAAAATGCAAAAGGCACCCCAAACTTCTACTTAATTACGTCAGCATTTTGATAACATATCTCTTCTATATACCATAAAGTAACAACAGCTATATACTTCTGTGTAGCAACAAATGCAAGAACAAAAGATGTCACTGCTCCTGCATTTGTAGGCAATTTTTATCTGAAAATAACACCATCAGGTACACATGGCATTGATGCTTTCAATTTTAATTTCACAGATGAAAGAGCTTGGTGTCATCTTCTACAACTGCAGCTGCCTGGTCCTAGATTTACAAAGGATATTTGCTTTATATAGTTCATTAAAATTCAAAAGCAGAGTACCTCAGACCTGGTCCAAGAG